GAGGCAGAGGCCATGGGGAGAGTTCGTGGTTGAGAAACGGGACTCGGCTAAGAATGGAGCTAGAGTTTTGGCTCAAGACCTACGAGACCTCCGAGGAAGCAGCTCTCTCTTATGACCGAACCACCTACCGCATGCGTGGCTTCCACATCGGATTGGCTTGAATGAGCCACCTCCTATCCGATTGGCTTGATCACTGGCGGATTCTTCTCTTTTTGGCTGGGTAGAGCTTCTCCTAAGGTAATAAAATACTATAAAAATTGGTTTTTTTAAAGCTTCTTACATATAGGTCCATTTTAATCAAGATGTAAAAAGGTGTCAAAAAGGCCGTGTCGGGCCAGCTCAGTCCATTTAATAAACGGGTCATTTCGGGCCTGTCCATTTGTGAAAATCATCAATTCCAGCCCGAATCCACAGCCTTAGCTCATATGGGCTCTGGTTGTGCTCATGTCGTGCCTGTGACTGGATTGGAAACATCATTTACATTGGCCACACTCCTTATTGGTTGTGGTATGATATTTAAAATTTCCTTGATCAAAGTTCATATGATTCGTGGCCCTTGAATCAATAATCCATCCATAATCGGTATGTAAGCTAGAAGAGTTAAATATTTGACCCGCATTACCTTGGGAACTCAAACCAGAAGGCATACTTTCCTGAGTAGGATTAGATGACAGGAGGGAATGATGTGGCTCAACAGTTGCAGCAAAACTAAGTGGTGCATAAAGGGTCCGGCTGGTAGTGCTGCCTAGAGCACCGGGTGCGGCACTTGCAGAAGGGCCACCAGCCAGCGAAATAGTTTTGGTTAGTGCAGCATGTCCAACTTTGTCTTTTTGCTTCTTCCATTGTTTCAAAGCGTCCCACCAATTAGGATACCCATTGAGTTTGAAGCACTTATCTGTGTTATGTTTGGTACTGTTGCAGTGAGTGCAATGGAAAGGAACGGGGTCTGAGAAGATTTCCACGACTTAAGGTATTAATACCATGTAGTAAAATTGGCACCATTCAATTTGATACCAATTAGTGCAACAGAAGCTTCACGGTGAACAGTAACAACTGGTACTACAGTGGCATTTGGATTGATAGCAAAGTCACCCATATGGTATGGAGACAAGGTCACAAGATGAACAACGTATGGGTATATGTAGGTACGACAACCTTGTAGCACAAATTGTAGGTAGGCAAGGGTAAATGAAGGCATGACAACCTTGTAGCATGGGTTGTAGGTTAACACGGGTAAGTGTGCGACACATGCACAAAACATTTTCCATAGGGAAACCGTAGGATCTCCACTCTAATACCATTTAGAAATGAATATTTGCGTAATTTCTGAAAATATCTATTTCATTCTCCAAAAGGAGGTATTTATAATAGAGTAAAACAAGGAATGTAAATAGTCCTAATCACAAGAGATATTCCTAATTATAAGATATATGTACAAGAGGGATAGAAATAAAATAGGAAAATAATGTATGGGATCGTGAAGCCAAGTTTTTGCCCAATCTGTCTTGAGAAAAGATCTCCAGAAATGTGCGGGCAAAGTTTCTTTCAGTTTTGTCAAGAGACCAAATTTTCAGATGTCTCGCCAACATAAGATATGCGCCAACACAACCTTATATATCTTTCACCACACCCAAAGTCCTAAAATGATTCAAAAGCATATGGATTGCGTCCATATATTTATCTTTAAAGATGAACCAATATATCATCTTTGTGAAACCAAATTAAAATTGACCAATGCATTACGAAAGCTCCAAGTATTTTCCTGTGGACTGAGGACCTATTCTTAGGTATACTGATCAAAGTAAATTCCAGTATGTATAAATAGCAAGTTGTTAAGTTTGGTAAATTAAATGGGATTGTTTTTCGTTATTATGTAAGAAGAAACTAATATTGCACATCATTATTCAATGTAAGGATCAATGTGAATATGAGCTATATGAGAAGTGTTCGGGCTTAGGGTTTAGGGTTCTAAAAATTAATTCTCTCAATCTTAATATGAGCAAGACACAACCACTCTCAACCACCCATATAATTAATGTGGATTCATATGAACTATCTTATCATCAATTCTGGTTACAAATATGGTACTGAAATTGTGTACGTTTAGCGTTTCCCATATCATAAATTAGCTAGACCAAATGATGCACGCATGTATGCAAAGAGTTTGTCTGATAATCATGAGAACTTTATTCCTCTCTTGCAAAAACCAAGTTTCTAAGTTCCAAGTTTTATTTGTCCTCTTCATTTTCTCCTTTCTTGTTTCAGACGGATATAAGTCCAGTGTAAAGGTGTCAATTTATGAAAATCATCAATCCCAACCCGAGCCCATAGGGGCCTAATTACCTCGTCCTGGTCTGCCCAATGATAGAGGTCGTGCCATCTGGGCATTATTTAAGCGGGCCATGCTCGTGCCGTAGTCAAGTCGGCCCGATTCGTTTGACACTTCTAGTCCACTGTGAACTTTAAAAAAGGTGAGGCAAGTTTGGGAACTTTACAGTAGTAGACGTTAGTCTCTTGAAGTTCAACTGAAGCTGAGTATCGTGCATTAGCCAATATTCCAACTGAGGTAGTTTGGATTTGTCAACTTCTTGCTGATTTCCATATTTATCTACCATAATATCCTTTCTTATACTGTGCGTTGGCCTTAAGATCTAACCCTACCTATCCCTCTCACATAAAACATCTGGACATCGATTTCCATTTTGTTAGGGAATGAGTCCAACATAACTTTTTTCTTATTCAATATCTTCCTACTGAAGACCAAATTGCTAATATCTTAACTAAAGGTCTTCATGGTCTAGTCTTCAACGAACATTACAACAATCTCATATTAGGATCCTACTTTGCGATTGAGGGGGGATGTTTACCTATTGATTAGAATGATGGAATACCACGAGCCAGTGGTTAATTGAATAGATGTGTTCACACATGAGATTGTTAGAATTGTTAGAACAATCATATGTATTATAGTTAGCCAGTTGTTAGTAGATGTAGTTGGTTAGCATAGTTACTTAGTTAGTAAGCTACTGCTACTAAGTATATAAACTGTGTTGTAATAGTTGGAAAGTAAATCAGAAAATTCTCTTATTCATTCTCTACAATTTCTCTAAATTCTTATTTATTCTCTCTTCTTCTTCTTCATCTTCCTCTCTATAATCATGTCCTCATATACTGTTAACAATAATAATCAATCTCTGATGCCATGCTTAACAGAATAGTGGGGAGACTTGCCTTTCAAAGTTGATGACTCAGAGGACATGATTGTCCACAACTCCCTCACCGATGCTATTAGTTTCGGGTGGTTACCTGATCACAACTTTTACGAATATGTCAAGCCCGAGCCCGTCCTCTACGATCCCTTTGATCACCATCATGCGCTTCCAAATTTTTTCACCCAATTCCATCAACACCATTATCTCAATAATGTTCCCCTCATCATGCCCTTTGATCATGATGATCAGAAGCACATGCAAGTTCAAGTACAAGATGTTGATGCAGCTGATCAAAATAAGGCACCAAAGTCTGGGGTGGCGAGAGGGAGAAATTATAGAGGGGCGAGGCAGAGGCCATGGGGAGAGTTCGTGGTTGAGAAACGAGACTCGGCTAAGAACGGAGCTAGAGTTTTGGCTCGAGACCTACGAGACCTTTGAGGAAGCAGCTCTCGCTTATGACCGAGCCACCTACTGCATGCGTGGCTTCCACATCGGATTGGCTTGAATGAGCTGCCGCCTATCTGATTGGCTTGATCACTAGCGGATTCTCCTCCTTTTGGTTGGGTAGAGCTGCTCCTAAGGTAATAAAATATTATAAAAATTATTTTATTATTTTATTTTTTTTAAAGCTTCTTACATATAGGTCCATTTTAATCAAGATGTAAAAAGGTGTCAAAAAGGACCGTGTCGGGCCGGCTCGGTCCATTTAATAAACGGGTCGTTTCGGGCCCGTCCATTTGTGAAAATCATCAATTCTGGCCCGAATCCACAGCCTTAGCCCATATGGGCTCTGGTTGTGCTCATGTCGTGCCTGTGACTGGACTGGAAACATCCTTTACATTGGCCACACTCCTTATGGGTTATGGTATGATATTTAAAATTTCCTTTATCAAAGTTCATATGATTTGTGGACCTTGAATCAATAATCCATCCATAATCGGTATGTAAGCTAGAAGAGTTAAATATTTGACCCGCATTACCTTGGGATCTCAAACCTGAAGGCATACTTTCCTGAGTAGGATTAGATGACAGCAGGGGATGTAGCTCAATAGTTGCAGCAAAACCAAGTGGTGCATAAAGGGTCCGGCTAGTAGTGCTGCCTAGAGCACCAGGTGCGGCACTTGCAGAAGGTCCACCAGCCAGCGGAACAGTTTTGGTTAGTGCAGCATGTCCAACTTTGTCTTTTTGCTTCTTCCGTTGTTTCAAAGCATCCCCCCAATTAGGATACCCATTGAGTTTGAAGCACTTATCTATGTTATGTTTGGTACTGTTGCAGTGAGTGCAATGGTTTCACATCACTTTTTGTTGTTATAAGTTTGCTTTGCATCCAATATCATCATACATACATGTTCATTGATGATGATCTGGATCATGTTACTATAGTTATGTGGGATATAAACTCCAATATTTGATAAAAACCCTCAAGATCCAAACAAATAATTCTCGCAGATAGTTGATTTATAAAAAAATCTAATGTTTCGATTATTTCTATTCTTAACTTGCTCCTATTATAAAACATGTTTTGTGATTACACCAAATTTTATTTTTTTCTTCCTAAAGTTGGGTCAAAATGACGTTGGCAAATTGCACCAAACTTAACATAATGTAATGTTATCGTATAATTAAAGAAAGCCTAAAGTCCTTGACCTACCATATTCAATTCAATTCAATTCCATTCAATTGGTGAAGGACGGCAGGCCACCCGATAAAGCAAAATCGTACCAAAAAGAAAAAAACCAAGCTGATAATTACATAATTAACTAATTTATTTGTTTTTAATACTTATAATTAACGCTTTTGACAAATTAAGGCAAGCACCACCAGCTACACCAGAAACATCATATCATTGGGCAACAACAACAACAGACAAAATCACCGAAAACCAAAAAACACAGCATTTTCATGAGCCCTCTTGACTTTGTACCTACGAAAACCAAATACAAATCGCAAATAAAATAAATTAAAATCACCAAACAAATCCCAGATTGGATCTCTCTCCTCATTCTCAGCTATAGATCTCTCTCTCTCTCTGAGCCTATTGTCTCTTTGTGCTCAATTTGAGGTCAGCTTAATGCTCTTTAGCAATCTCTCGTATTCAGTTTCTAACTTTGACATTTCATATCAAATCTGTATGTGCGCATATATCTATATACGTACGTATTCCTGTGTATCTGATAGAATGAAACCAAATATTTTGGGTTTTGAGTGTCTGGGTTTTTCTTATGATCTGGGCTGCCTTGTGTGCGTGTGTGTGTTTTTATATGTATCTATTTATCATTCGTGTTTTGATCTGAACGTTTAAAAGGAACAGACACCAACATTGGTTTTTGGGTTTGGATTCTGTAATGCTGTACGGCAATTCTTTCATTGGGTTTAACGCTCTGTTTGGTTGCCTAGAAATTGTTTAAGCAATTAACAATTTTCTTGGAAAGACTTAGAAGAGCTCAGCTTAACTAAATCATTTATATAAAGAGTAGTTGATTGTTTTCCTTCAAAAAAAATTTTCCCGATAAGTTGGGTCTTGTTGATTCCAGTTTAGCTTATATTGGACATTTTAAGGTTTTCTTGATGGAAATTTTGAATCTGAATAGGAACTGTTGGAATCTCCAATCAATGCCAGTATAGTGGAGCGCCTGTTTTTGAGTTCTGAACCTGTTTCTTTGTATTATTGCTGAAAATTGTAGAAGGGCTACTTAGGAGTGAGTTTAGGCCAAGAAACCCATGCTCAGAATGTTTTCTGTGTACTAGATCATGTAGTTCATCCAAGTTGAACAATGCTGTTGTCTGATTTGACTAGAACCAAACATATTCAGAGGCCATTGGGTAGATTGGTTTGTGTTTAGGGTATAAATGGCTCTAATTTAGAGTTTAATAGGAGATGGTAGAGAGTGATTTGGACACAGAAAAGGTTGAGTGCACGGAAGCCAACTACGCTCAGAGTGGAAGCCAAGAATCAGGTCTTCGCAGGGAGCCCTCATTCTCTCGCTGGTGCGATGAAGATGGGACAGTGCATTTTGATCGTCAATTAGAAAACACGGATGCGAGTGTAGAAGAAGATTCTGACTTTGAATTGCCCATGCTTCAAAAGGGTGAGCTAGAAAACAACATTTTGGATAGGGACCGAAACCATAATACTAAATCTCAGAAGAGAAATATGCGGTTGAACGGTGGTGATACCTTGGATGATGATTCTACTCACGTAGGTGGGACTGGAAATGAGGAGTATTTGCCCTTTGATATCGAGAATAGCTCTGAAGGGGAGGTACATGCTATAGATAGTTTTATGCATAGCCATAAAGCATTACAGCCCAATTCGAAGAACCCTATTTCTGTTTCCAATGTGCTGAAAATGTTGTTCTTCGTACTAATGTGGTACACTTTCAGCCTGTTTTTGACCTTGTAAGTTCTCTCTACTTGATCAATCATCATATGTATATATTTTGTGAAATATTCAAGTTACTTAATGATGCTAAATTATTTTCTTCTCCGTTTTTTATTGTTTCTGGTTTGTTTAGGTATAACAAAAGTCTGTTAGGTGATGATTTGGGGAAGTTCCCTGCTCCATTATTGATGAATACCGTTCATTTCTCAATGCAAGCTGTTTTTTCGAAGGGAATCACATGGTATTGGTCTAATAGATTCCAAACTGGTGGTTCTATGTCATGGAGAGATTACTTTGTGAAAGGTAAACTCATCATCCTTTTGCTTTGTTATACGAATTTGGTAATTGCGAAGTGAGTTGAGTTCTTTAAACATTTTTCCAAATAACCTAGTGCTTACAGCTTAAGTTTCAAATGCCGGTTGTTTTACAGTTTCTATTTTCTTTTTGTTTGTTAGGATATATGTTTTTTCTATTTTAAATTAAGGTTTAAATAAGAACAATTATTGTGAAAATGTTTCTTTTTCTCCCTCTTCTTTCCAAGATTCAAGTGATATTTGGTTATGAAAAATATATAATCTATACCATACCATCTTCAACCATCATAGTTGTGGAATTTGTAAAGATTGAGATGCTGTTGGAGTTTATACACCTATGTTTCTGAATGGGTAGGAGCATTGTGTTTAAAGCTAGTTTTTAAAGCAATTTTGATTGAACTTGTGCCAATCCACATTGTGCACTAAGTTTTATTCATATCCGAAGGAGCAAAAGATTTAGATTTGTAAAGTTTTAGGGGAACTGTATTGGTCGACCTAGGTCATGAAGCTGGAGCTATTGTTGGTTCTCTCATAATCTGTGAAGCAACGTCATGAAGACAAGAATGACACAACATAGGTCAGCACGTTGAAAATAGTTGAGCAGAAGACAGTACATACACATGATCCAGGACACTGGAATTTGATAACTAATTATATTTTGTACTTATAATTGTTTGTATAGGTTCCTATCTTTGATGCCTGATATTAATGTTAAATCAGAATACATTCTGTGGCATTTGATTTATTGTATAGCCTCTCTTGGATGCCTGATGTTAATGTTCTTTACAAAATATGCTTCCCTTCTTATAATTTGTTGTCATATACTTAATACTTCGCTGTTACTTAGTAAATTAACTTTTCTATCAACTAATGCTACAGATGGACTTTGCCTTTCACAGTTGTACCCACGGCTCTTGGAACAGCAATGGATGTTAATCTAAGCAACGCATCCCTTGTTTTTATATCTGTCACATTTGCCACAATGGTTGGTTACTTTCTCTGCATATTCACATCCTAACATTTTTCATTCTTTATCAGTCAACTACTTACTGACTTCCTTTTACTTTTGTAGTGTAAATCCGCCGCTCCTATATTTCTTCTTCTATTTGCTTTCGCTTTCAGGTGAATTTCTTGCCAGTAGAGTTCTGTGACCTGTTTCCCTAATCATGGTGCATAGATATCTTTACCGAATGCTATCCAATCTTTGCTATTACTCCTATATCTGTAATCCAGTCTTCTTGTAACTCTATTTGTGTACAAGTGTTTCTTCTCCCCATTTCTTATAGTTCTAAAATGTCTTCTGGGTTAAAATTAGCGTACAAATTAACTATAACTTTATCATACATTTCAGTGTCTAGTCACCCTGTATCATTGTGCTTACATTTGGTTAACGTCATTTTCATTTTCTCTCTGATTGTGCCCTTTTTGTTCTTCCGTGCAATGCAAATCTTCTGCTTGGAAGATTGGAGGCACCAAGCGTTAGACTTTCGGGAATCATATTAATTATCTCCATTGGAATACTATTAACAGGTATTAAGCTTTGGTTTATAATCGTTTATTTCATTATGCTCTGATTTTGTTTCATATGTGTATATTTTTTCGATTCTCATATTGAAAGATTCTTTCCCTTCCTTCCCCCTTCTTTCCTTCCTCTCTCTTGTTTTTCTTTTTATAGTTTAGTAATTGTACATATATCTGTTTCATTCTCTCTCGTCAATCTTTCATTTTCTTTTTTCTTTTAGATATCATGGGAATGCAGTAATGCTCCCAAAATATGTGCCTAAGACTTAGGATATCTTGCCTGCTCGAAAGGAACTTGAACTGGACATTTTGTACCTCTAATCTTCATGAACTTATCTTTAGGCTTTTCTGTCATCTCTTTGTTGAAGTAACTCTATCCATCTGGTTTTTCCCTTCTTCATTATAATGTCTGCCATTATTGATGGAAATAGCAAAGGGCCTTGACAAGTTCCATATCCTAAGACCACTTTACATTCACATACAGTGAACTTATGGGCATTTTTTAAAATTCATTGTTTTTTTAGTTTAGCAGATTGTTTGCTAATGCTTAAACATATAGTTTTTTGTGATTAAAAGATCTCAACTGAAACCTCAATTCAAGTCCTTACCATTGTTGTTGCCTGTTATGCTACTAGTCCTCGTGGTTATTGCTTTTCTAAATTTTTTTTTTGGAGTGGAACTTTTAAGCGTTTATGATATTTCCAATGTTAATGTTTCCATATCTTCCCATTTTGGATTTTCTGCAGTTTCAAAGGAGACTGAATTTGACCTTTGGGGATTCATTTTTGTCATGCTTGCTGCTGTTATGTCCGGCTTCCGCTGGTGCATGACTCAAATTCTTTTGCAGGTGTGCTTTCTGTGTACTTCTGGTTTTTTTTGTTTTTTTTTCAATTTTTGGTTTTTATAACTACATAGTCTTATGTATCTTTATTGGTTACTTTGTTATGCATTACGCTCGTGAATGGTTTCCCAAAATCGAAATAAAGAAAGAAGCTTATGGTAAGTGCTATATGCTGTAATTGCAATCTCACTTTTGGAATGTTTGAATAGTAAATTTCACATATTTGTCTTCGAAAGAGTTCTTGCACTATGTATATCAGTTGCCACTATGATAACATCATTATATGTTATGTAAACATGTCAATGTGGTCAGTTCCTGCTAGAGTTACAGCTTCTTATTCAAGTAATTTGTCGTTTTTGGCGAGTGCATGAATTTTTCCTTTTTTTTAAAAAACTTAAACAAATAGTTTAACTTGTAAATTCTATACTACAAGATTTCATTAGATTTTTCATATTCTATGCTATGATATTTTATGAGATTTTTTGTATTAATTTTTTTTTTCCCCAAACAAGTGCAATTGGTTAATACTTATAAGTCCTCAAGTATTTCAGTGGTATCATGATTATGTCCTAAAAATATGTGATTTATGGTTTCATGTTTATTTTCTTACGTGAAGATATGTAATTATATTCACTGTCTGTACTTTTTCGTATTTGTGGGATTATTACTGGTATCATAATACAAGAAGTACTGGTTGAGTTTTTCGTCTATAATGTAATTATCGAACATGTTACTTTTTAGCGTTAGTCATCTTAGACTCCAATAAGATGGCTCAGGTGGAGCCAGTGTACAAACTCAAACAGTTATAGTCGATTTAAATTGTGGGAGGCAAGGCAACTCAAATAGATAATTCATGGATTTTTTTCAACTACATTAAAGCTCATAAAAGTTATGACTTATACTTCGTGTGAACAAATTCCACCTTAGCTTCCAATGAAGTCACACCCAACTGAACAAAACCAAATTTAGAGATTGGCATCGGTGACTGTATTTATACAAGGGTTTGGCACTGGGACTACGATTGTCAGCAAATATGTGACCTTCGCAACTTTTTTTAGAAGAACCATATTTTATTTAAAAAATCATAATAAAGTACAATAAAAGTGACCAAGGAGTACATATTAGAAAAGGGATTATCCAATGTGTACTCCTTTTTCTAATGTGAAGAACAAGGAGTACTTACGAGAAAAGAAGTACACATTGGACACAACTACAAAAGGTTCAACAAAGAAATTATCATATCACTACCTTTTGCAACTTAGAGATGCAATTCATTACCTGCCTTGAAACATTATCCCATATCTGGATACATGTGATTTCGTGGAACCATCAGAGGCCTTGGTACATTTTTGACTTGATTAGTAAATATGAATCATGAAATTGATGCTGAAATATGCATGGGATTAAGGGGAATGGACAAATGGTAACATTCTCTTGTCCTTTCGTTTTCCAGACGCTAAAAGATTAGGTGGTAATCAACTCGTTTCCATCATTTGGGTTGTCTGAAGCATGTTACTGGTGAAGTTATAGCTATGCATCGAGTCCAGTTCAATGCAGTTTACACCTGGCTAATTTCTTCATGTCAATTTCATGATGACTAAAATATGAAATTTGATGCCGTAGAAAAGTTATGGTATATAGATGTATATATGAACAATTTTTTCTGAATCAGGACAGTTTCTAACAATCTTATATTTTCAAATATTAGTATATAGATGCTGTAAGTTTGCATAACTTACTCTTACAATAATTCTGTTCAATTGTTCTAGGTTTAAAAAATCCGCTTACTTTGATGAGCTATGTGACCCCAGTGATGGCAGTAGTGACTGCCCTTCTCTCTCTTGTATTTGATCCGTGGGATGAACTTAGGAGAAACAATTACTTCAATAATCCAGCGCATATCAGTCGAAGTTGCTTGCTGATGCTGTTTGGTGGAACCCTTGCCTTTTTTATGGTAGGAGAATAGGCAAACTTTTTCTTGTTGCATATCGATTTCTTTCTTACTATTGCATGTTTTATGATTGCTATTGACTTTAAATTAGAGTATTAGGTGAGGGCTGTTGACTTTAAACTACAAGACTAGTTTACTGCAAGTTTTGATTTTGTTTTAAATACCTTAAGTATGCGTGTGCGTGTGTGTATATTTGTTCTCTCAGCTATGCATAGGAGGTGAGATACATTCAATTTATCTCGGCTATTCATATATGATCGAATGGTTGAAAAACAGGTTCTCATTTAAGGATCTTATGAGATTATAGTTATATACGTGCATACATACACATATATATATGCATTTATAAGGAACAATCTTGATTTAAACTGACTAAGATGCCCTTTTGCTGCAGGTATTAACAGAATTCATTCTTGTCTCAGTAACCAGTGCTGTCACAGTAACAATAGCAGGTGTTGTTAAGGAGGCTCTCACCATATTGGTATGTTCGGTTCTTTATGGTTGTCCGTTCTTTTAAATTTTGGGTTGTCTTACCTTCTAGACCTACTTGTTCTCAGCTGTACAATCTCATAGCTATTAACTGTTTGTTTCTTTAAGAATTACATGAGAATAAATAATGACTCACGAGTGCTATTAAATAGAATCATTTAACTGTCCATTGATTTCACTCACGTGAATGCTAGTGCTAGAAGTAGGAATTGATCATGAAGTAGCATCTTGTTTCAATATGTGGCATGCTATGTGCCTATTTATTTTAAAAGTTTTGTTGGTTACCTTATTTGTCAAAGCCAAACAAGATAGATTACATTAGAAATGCACTTTCCTGCAGCTACTGGTCTATCTGCTGCCTGAAAATTTTTGGCTTGTAAAACAATATTGAAACGTCTACTTATGAGTGTTTGTACTCTGGTAATGCCCAAAAGGGCTACATTGGCAGTAGTACACCCATATTCACTTAGAGAAAGAAATCATTTTCTGTTTAATTTAATTTAATTTTTCTCTTCTTTTCTGTTCAAAATGTGTCCACGGAACATGTAGTTCTACATCTTTCAATTGGCCTTGTGAAGATATGGTTCTACAATTTTGACATTTGAGGAACTAAATGTTTTAATCAACTGAAAGAGTAAGGGACAATGGTTTTTAACAAATTATTTAGACTAATTTTAGATTTAGGTGGAGAGTGTTTTGTCCAGTTCTTTTTCTGTAGAAGGTGACATGCTGTCCATCCCTGCAAGGATTTCTGCTAGTGCCTGGCTGGTTACAGTTTTATGTGTCCGTGCATGTGAATTTGGTTGTAGTTCCAACTGTCTGTATGCCTGCACAGTGTATGTCAGAGGAAGAACTATATTTATGTATCACTATGGTCCTTTTCACCTCAAATGAGCCTTTTACAGTTGATTGTCTGGCCCATCCATATCAAGTGGCAGAAAATAAAAGACTTCCTCTTAACACTGATTGCATGATGAGAGAAATGGCTAATCTGGATTTGCTGATCTTTGGTGCATTAATACAATATCTTAATGTTTATAAATCTATATCTTAGATTTCATAAATTATTTGAGGAATTGCATAAACAAGTTGCAGACTTGCGTCACTGCCTGAATTAATTTGTACTTAAGCGGATAAGCTTTGCTATCTATGCCCAAACTCTAGTTCATGATTTGCTAGCTCTAAGCTCTTGTGAGAATTTGCACCAAAACAATTTGGTTACACACGTCAGATTTTGCTTCTATGCTATGTAAATGTTCTAGTTTGAGCCTCTGTTTCTATTTTGAGCTCTGATTTTAGCTTTCTATAAACGTTGAAAATTTATGCTAATCATATGGCATTCTTGTCTTTTTGATGCTCATCAGGTTTCTGTACTCGTCAATATATATCCATCGCTGAGGCTCTTGAATTATGTATTGATTTCTAATCCTATGATTTTGCATACTCAGGTTGCAGTTATTTACTTCCATGATGAATTTACCCGATTGAAAGGAGCTGGGCTCTTCATAATTATGCTTGGTGTCAGTTTATTCAACTGGTACAAGTAAGTCCTCGTTTGGTTGGGGGGAATCATTTGCATTTTGCTTATGCTGTAGTATGTTTAATAGTGAAACATTCCTTTGAAAATTGTTATAATCCATTAATTTACACTTTGTTTAAATACAAATGAGAGTGAGTAAGAAAATAGGCAGGAAGGCCAGAAAATTATGATGGAGGAATTTTTGTTCGCCAGTTTTTTAGTTGGAGAGAAGGATAAGATGGGAAGAGTGTTGGGAAGTAGTTTTCTGTGGAAGTAGTAGGATGAAACTATACAGAACTTGCAAATACGCAAGCATTGCTCTTGAATATTTACTGTACCACATGTATCTCTATTTTAATCAGTTGTATTTTATTTTACAGATACGAAAAGATAAAGAAGGGTCAAACAAGTGAAGATGATATGGAGGAATCAGTCACGACAAATGTTGCTGCAAAATATGTTATTCTTGAGGAGATGGATGAGCAAGATGATGGCAGATGAAAGCTTTAGTAAGTCCGTGCATCTCAATTTGAAGGAACCCAATAGTTGTAAATTCTCGATATTGAGCTAGTACACAATTCACTTATCAACTTCATTAAATACACAAAATATGGTTTTGGTTTAAAAATTTACACCAAATGTATGTTAATTACACTAAATTTTACACGTAATATTGTCACTCCTTTTATCTGTATGAATCTACCTCATCAATGCTCATGCATTTTTATTTTTATTATTTATTATTTATTTCTTTATATATTTGTTTTAGATGCAGCCATTTGTATTTCTGGTCATAAATTTTCTTAAATGATAGGGCTGAAGTTCTCCTAAGAGCAAAGTGGGGTTGCTACCAGGAACGGGGCCTTAGTTTTTTTTAATATATACCAATTTATATCCAAAAACTGTACAGTTTCCTCTTCTGACGGTTGGTATCAGTCATATTCTTATTTGTGGCTGGGTCTCAATGTCAGTGATTCAGTCAATTGCTTGGTAAAATGTTATGGTGATTCTGGATCAAAATACTGGTCTCTATTAACTGCTACGCTTTGTTGAATTCTCATGCAATCATTTGTATATTAGGCTATTTTGCCAATTTAACTTGACATTACATCAGGTAAATTTTTGCAGGAAAAGTTCACTGTCATGCATCTCGGTGAAGCTTTTAGCAAGAAGCACATTTGCTTGTCTCAATTTTCAGCATCTGTTCGTGTTCCTACTTCTTCAAGCTTTGCCCTTTGCAGAGTTCGCCCTAAATCAATACGAGTCGAGATTTTGCAGCTACGCACCAAGAATCAGAAGAGAAGCTAAATCTTAGCTCTTAGTATATACCGAGTGTCATTTGTTAGGATGTGTGCGCATGGATGTCAATAATGCTTCAGTTTTTTCTTATTATTTTTTAAAATACTTTGTTGAGATAGAGGGGGTGGTGTTTGCACCTGCAAGCTACCCAGAGTTTTGTAATTTCCATCATGCTTGATGGATTGTCCTTGCCCTTGATGTATATTATAAATTGGGCTTCCTTTTTTTCCCCCTTATTTTTCTTTGTATCAGAATAAAAATGATTTCTCAAAAGAATATGAAATTATGATTTATTACCTATTTGGTGGTTGTATTTAGGTATGTGCAGAAGCTGAGACTGCATTTGGTTTTCTGCGGGCAGTTTTCTTCATGGATTACAACGACGGTGGTTTGGGTGTGCGCATATTAGATTAGCGTGGATTTCTATCTGACACCCCTAATCTGTTTTTGGACACCGACGTCTGCTGGACAAACCCATCTTCAAATTTTGAACTTTTACAAAGTTCTATGAGTAAATATATTGTAAGTATATCTGAATCTGTTTGCACCATAGTTGAACAATCTTCAACCGAAAATCGATTAAAGTGGCATCTGGCAAAGCTCTCAACATGTATGAGTTCTTTCTGAAACCTGTTATCTCTACAGAAATTTGAGATGAAAATCTGTGAGGAAATTTGTAATCTTTGGAAAGGATTGTCCTTGATAATGACTATGAGGTGTCTTTAAATTGACTAGAAATCAAACTCTGAGTCGACATGCATTGCTTGAAATCTAACCTTGACTAAAATCTCAAGTGAACCCATTGAATTTATTTTGGCAATTTATTTTTTGATACGAGCAAGAACATGAACACTATAAACTACTTGCATACCATAATGAAGTTTGCGCTCGGATCAGGTGAGAGCACCTATGTGAGAACCTTATATGAGAATCAATTGCAGTCGTTGAAATGCATCTAAACGGTTTAGGAGAAAAAACAAGCTTATGGTGCAAACGAGTAGGCTACAGTTTCCCCTTTGCCCATATGTCAAGTTGCCTGTTTTGAAAAAAACACGCCTTTGTTCTTCCTAACAATCGCACTTTTCTTCTCAATGAATTTATGAATGAACCCTAATCGTAACAACCAAAATACCTACCAGACATAAATTTGTGTTGTACTCTTCTCTTGTCGCAAAAACTCCCTGGTCTACTCTTTCTCTTTCACTTCCTCTTCTGTTGTCGTAGAACCTCCTTCATCTACTCTTTAACGTCTGAATCGGTACGTTTTTCTCGAATTCCCTCTCTCTCTCTCTCTCTTTCATATTAAAGTTTGCATGTTATATATTGCATTCACTTAATGTTTAAATTTTGTTTAGGATTTTAGGGCTCTGATTTTTTGGGTAAGAGTACTCTGTCTCTGTAGTAGTTGTGTTTGCAAAAGTATAAATTGGCTTCAGTTGCTTTTTTGTGTTGTGTTTTCTAGTTTCTAGTGATTTGTTGAAGCATAGTAACTCTTTTTTAAAGTTTTGCTTTGGTTTAAATATTCTTTTAATTTTCCAAAATTTAGGTTGTATTTTTTTTGCAATTTTTTGTGTTAATTTGTTTAAGTGTAGATTCATAGCTGTTGCTTCTTCCTTTTTTTTTTTTTTGTTTTTTTTTTTTTGCATTCTGCGTGTTTGTTGTCTTTTCTTAAAATTCCAGGAACCTTCATCTGTTCCTCATTGTAATCATGCTTTGCCCATCTAGTGGTGTGAGTGTAGGGCGTAATTTTAGTGATTTAATGGGGCTTGGAAAACAAATAATAAGTACCATTAGAAGTAGAACATAGAAAAAAAAATTGAATCTTAAACCAAATGAGTTCGCAAATTCCTTTGGTCATACCTCTGAACTCGACTTCTGCACTGGATAAGGCGACCACCTTCTGTTTCTTGCTTCTCCATGTAACCAATTACCTCGCACAAATGTGAAGTAACTGGATGTGGATTTCCTATCTGTTATACTTCCTGCCCAATCTGCATTTGTGTAACCATCAATATTCAGATGACCATGTTTTGAGAACATAAGTCCTTTTCCGGGTGCAGACTTCAAATATCTAAGTATCTGAATAACTGCATTCATGTGGTCTTCACTTGGAGAATGCATAAATTGACTGATGACGCTCACCACATAAGCAATGCCTGGCCTAGTATGAGACAAGTAGATCAATCTTCCCATTAACCTTTGGTATCTTTCTTTGTTAGTTGGAACTTGATCTAGGTATTCTCCAAGATGATGATTATGAACAATAGAAGTGTCTACAGGTTTGCAATCTAGCATTCCTGTGTTTGTCAAACAGTCCATGACATATTTCCTTTGAGAGAGAAATATGCCTCGTTATGATCAGGCCACCTCAATCCCCAAGAAATATTTTAGTCCACCTAGATTCTTCATCTCAAATTCAGTAGCCAAATAGTCTTGTAGCTGAGATATTTCATGTTTATCATTCCCAGTAATAATCATGTCGTCAACATAGATTATTAAAGCTGTTACCTTCCCTTTCTAATGTTTCAAGAACAAAGTATGATCTGAGTTACTCTGTCTGAAACCATTGTTCTTCATTTCCATGGTGAACCGTCCAAACCATGCACATGGTGACTGTTTCAGTCCATACAACGTCATTCGTAATTTGCATACTGTTCTAGTCTGAGTAGTATTATATCTAGGAGGAATGTCCATATACACCTCCTCCGTGAGTTCTCCATGTAGGAAGACATTCTTTACATCAAACTGGTGTAGTGGCTAGTCCAAATTAGATGCGAGTGACAATAAGACTCTGATTGTGTTCAATTTTGCAACTGGTGCAAAGGTTTCTTCATAATCTACACCATAAGTCTGTGTGTATCCTTTCGCCACAATTCTTGCCTTATATCGCTCTATAGATTCATTAGCGTTGTGTTTTATGGTAAACACCCATCTACATCCGATAGTCTTTTTTCCTAGTGGTAAAGTTTCCAGTGTCCAAGTCTAATTCTTCTCAAGAGCTTTCATCTCTTCCTTTATAGCTTGAACCCACTTAGGATCTTTAAATACTTCAGCAACCTTAGTTGGGATATGAATAGCAGACAACTGATGAACAAAGGCCTTGTGTGGTTCTGTTTGTGCCTAATAAATCACGGCCAAGAACTGACCAAGGGAGCCCATTTTCTCAACCCTAACACTTGCTCGTGAGGCTAAAACGCGGCATTTCGCCAAGATGTTTAGCCTTCCTAAAAAAGCAAAGGAAAAGTTGTGAAGGCATGATCATCTCGGCCTTGATTATAGGCCGAGGCCGAAGCCGAACAAAATCACGGCCAAAGGCACTAAGGTTAGATCATCAAGTGGCAGCAGGGTCCCACGCTTCATTTAATGAAGCAATGCCTCTGTTTATGGTAGCAAACCCACTGACCACGAATAAACATTTAATGCACGAGGGAAGGTGAGAAGTGATTGAAGTCAGGATTTGGTGACAGGAATCAGAGTGATTAGACACAGACATTCTCACAAGAATTCTTGCAGTTTGAGAGATTGGGTCACCAACTATCAGAAACAATAAATGTGTCTCCACGGCCAGAAGCGCAGAACCCACGATCAGGGCGGCGGCCGAGATTCACCGGGATTTATGGGGTCACACCACCATACTTCACGATCCCAAATGTCGATTGGACTACCCACTTGCTCTAATCAGGCTCCACCATGCAGATTTTTAGCCTCGATTACTCCTCCAAGAACTCTTCCTATAAATACAAGGCTCAAGCTACATTCACAGGGTTCAAACACCAAACAAAAGCCTCATACGGAGCAAATTATATTTTCCTGTAATGCACTTTCAATATCTTTACTTGCTTTCCTAGGAGTAGTGTTAGTTTGTAAGGAAAATTCATTCATCAATATATCATACGACCCTTGATTTTCAAGGCGCCGGAGCACCATCTCTGTTGCTCATTCATTCACCCCATATATCATACGACCGCCGCTCACTGAGCAGCGCGCCGGAGCACCGCCCAAAACCCACCATCAGCACCACTCCTAAACGGCCTTGTAGCTCAGGCCGTGAACCTTGCAGCCGAGATCAGTTCCTCTCTCGGCTACAATCGTTTGATTAGAAGACGAGTTCAAACAGGTGCACCACTTGACCATTCTATCCACATCAACATCTCGACGCACGGTAGACCGTGCTGGCACGCCCGCGCACAACCGTACCGCATCCAAAAGCAGGAAGCCACGTGTTAACGCACATCCCCTCGGCCCGGAACCCCAGGTCGTGAGATCTGCGCAGCCGACAGGTTCAGACAGCTTCTCAGTGGATACATGATTCGCAATTGGATACTTTGATGTCTTGCCAATATCTAGTGAATAACGATTTAGTGACTTCCCATGATTTTTCCTGAAAGGTAATTGGTATCTCAGGGATATTTACAAGTGTAGAAGGAGTAGTTACCTCAGGGATATTCTCAGGAGATTGGTCTATTGGTACTGTTGAGTTAGAGGGGGGTTCTTCATCTTGTTATTCTGTATTGTCTGTAAGTGTAGGACTCGAATCAGAAACATCTTCGTAGGGATCAGGTGGAACAGGCAATTGATCACTATGAATAGGCAATTGATCACTTTTCGGTAGAGAGTAATCTTGTGCTCCAGACTCGGGCCGGTCGACCATTTCTATATAGAGGAGAATTTCTTCGTTTTCCAAGTTGCTCCAATTTTGCTCTTCACTTTGTATCTCTCCTTGAAGCGTAGAATTGGATGATGGGTCATGGAAGAACAACTCAGATTCCAAAAAGGTCACATCCAAAGTGACATAGGTACGTCGGGTAGCAGGGTGATAATAGCGGTAGCCTTTTTGATGAGTGACATAACCCACAAAAACACAATGAAGTGCACATGGATCAAGTTTGCTACGTTGATTTTTGTGGAGTGAACGAAAGCCACACATCCAAAGATTCGGGGTGTGAGTACCAAAACAGAGGGCAGGGGCCCGTGTTGTGCAAGCACTTGTAAGGGAGTTTTATAGGTCAATACACTAGAAGGCATGTGGTTGATCAGGTGAACTGCGGTGACAATAGCATCATCCCAGTGATGGCGAGGAACATGAGCGCCAATCAGAAGTGCTGGGCGGTTTGAAGATGTCGATTCTTTCGTTCAGCAACACCATTTTGTTGTGGTGTCTGAAGACAAGTTGTCTCATGGATAATTACATGTTGTTGGAAGTAAGTCTGAAAGTCATGATTGACAAATTTCCACCATTGTCTTTGCA